TGTGCAAATCTTCGTAGTATTGCTCCAAATTCCAATTTTAATATATATGTCTGAGGAAGTGATTCCAACTCCTTGAAGTGTGACAGGTGGATCAATTATTAATTACCTGAAGCCAGTCAGTTTGATGAGGATACCTGATACCGTTGATGAGGATACCTGATACCTTTGATGAGGATACCTGATACCTCAAGAGGGGGGGCGGGGGGGGGGGGGGGGGAAGGAGGAATAAAAAAAAAAGAAAAGAGTACCTCAAGGGGTACAGTGACAGGTGGCAGTGGTTGGACGTAAAGGCCTCCTATGATCTGTCGCTAACCCCCTGGTACCCTGTAGGTCAGCCTTCAGTAAAGGACGCCTATGACCTGTCGCTGTGCCCCTGGTGGGTGCCCTGTAGGTCAGCCTTCGGGCACCGCAGTCGTTACTCAGCTGAAGTTGGATGTCAGACAAAGATATTTTTCATTATTTTTTTCTTTTTCCTCTAGTTCTCTTTTTTTTTTTAAACGAGGGGGGGGGAATTTGGACCATTTCTCAATTTATGCGTGTCATCATTGCGCAGGGGCCATGCTAATCTTCTTTCTGTATCGTTCCAATTTTAACGGATGTCCCTAAGGACTCTTTTGAAGATCATACTTCGTCCCACTCGCTCTGCGTTGCTCAACCTCATTTGCGCCCATTCCGCCCACGGCCAGGCCTCGCTGTTTTTTTTTTTTTTTTTTTTTTTTTTTTTTTTTTTCCCTCACTTTTGGGACAAAATCTATTCGTGGGGAGCAAACACGTCCTGCTAACTTGGCCCAGCGTCCCTCGTGAAAACACACACAACAAATTGAAGTATCGGGTCCGGTACCCACGAACTGGGCCCGTGAACTGGGCCCGTGAACTGGGCCCAATGTCCCTCATGAAAATACAGAGAACAAATTCAAGTATCGGGGTCATTACCTGCGAGCTGGGCCTGTGTACTGGGCCCAGCGTCCCTCATGAAAACACACACAACAAATTAAAGTATCGGGTCCAATAACTGAGGTGTACCAGGCCCAAAGTCAGCAGCATCAGCATGCACAGGCTGGCCTCTCCCCCCCTCCTTCTCCCAGATCACAACCACCCCCCCTGCCATCCCTGTCTCTTATACACATCTAGATGTGTATAAGAGACAGGTATTGAGAGTCTGGTCCGGCACGATTCTTAAACATTTCCCAATTGTTTGCATTTTTAGTGCCGTTTACTCGTCCAGATGCAATGAAACTGATCGGGGGGNCGCCTCCCCCGCCCTCCACATCCCCCGTGGACTCCCAGTCCTCTGGCCCTCATTCCCCCGCCCCACCGCTACCACCATGGCCTGCACGCACAACTGTCACCACCTACCCACTTCACCTCGTCTCTGCACCGCCCTGTTCCTCGCCCGGTCACTGGCCACCCAGATCTTCCAGCTTCAGCAGCTCGGTAATCGACAGCTAAGAAAGAAATAGCAAGTTCAACTCAGAGGGAGCCAGGCGACGTCCACTTCAATCAAGGCAATTTTCGTGTTTCTGAGTACAAGGAAGGAGGAAGAGCACCGGACACRTGATGTGTATCCAGGTACAGGGGCCAGGAGAAATACATGGGACTGGCAGCATGGGATCTTCATACGATCTGAGAAATTCATATGATCTGAGAATACTCTACTCATACAGTTGTAGACGCATAATCCTCTCTGAATCTCTTCATCCTTAGTTAACTGCATTGTAATGCAAAATGTTGGTTGCCTCATGTCAGACCTCCCTTTATAGATTCAGATATATCAGGAGGTGATAGGGTAAAGGGTTTTAAAAACGGCCCAAAGGGTTTAAGCAGTGGAGGTCCAAAGGGGATGGGCTCTCATCCTTAGGTAACTGCATTGTAACGTAAATATAGGACGTCTCATGGGTCGTCTCATGTMAGACCCATTTTTATAGTTTCTGGTCAACCGGGCTCAAGAATACAGAAGGGGTGAAGGAAGTCAGAAGACTGGGTAAAGGTTTTTTTTTTAAGGATTTAAAAAGTCTTAAAGGGTTAAGCAGTGGAGTACCGAAGGAGAAGGGTTTAAAAGGATCGAAAGATTTAGAAGTCAGCTTAAAAAATTTGGGTAAAGGAACAAACACCATCGGGGGCTGCTGAACGGGGCTGGGTTAATAGACACGGGTTGCTCCAGAAAGGGATGGGCATCACTAGCAGCTCCATGGGACAATGGAGCCCAGGACAGTCAAGATAAGTAACCACAACCCCAGGGAAAAACGGTCTCAAGCGACGAGTCATGTGTTGTATCAACGGGACGCTGGACCCGGTTTCCAGCAGGTGCTGCTCCCCACCAATAGATGGAGCAGCCCTATAGACAAGCCCTCAATCCTGGCAGTTCCCGTACCACTGCCGGGATAGAGGGATGCTGCAAGGGCTCTTCCGCTGAGAGTGAGTTTTAACTTTGGAGAATTCAGAAAAATAATTCAGAAAATTAAAAACTTCCAAAAAACGTTTGTGAGCAGCTACTCCTACTAGAGAAAGGTCTACTGCAAGACTGCAAGCCTCACTGTTTTTTTTTTTTTTTGTTGTTGCCCGACTGTGTTAAGTATACTATACATATACTTGCAGGTAGATATCATGATGGCAATCTGGCCCCCAAGCACTGAGGTCACTGCTCTTGGGGCTCTGGCAAAATCATAACAAATGAACGACTGATGCACAAGAACGACTTGAAGATTTTTGTCTTTTATTGTCCTTGCACAGGGCCATGAAATTACCACTGTAACCCCCCGCCCCCCCCCAAAAAAAAAAATAAAAAATAGTACAGTGGTGCAGTGGACGCAGGAGACGTAATAGAGCTAACACGGGGAGGAGAGGTAGGTGAGGCTAAGAGAGAGAGAGGAAGAAGAGTGGGCACAGTGTGTTGTTTTTCCCTTCGCAGATCATCACAAGCCAATGAAGCCATCCATAATGAAAAAATATAGATAGGCAATACAATAGAAAATGCAAGGTTGGGCCTGGTTGGCCACATTTGTGTGGTTCAGCGCCAATTGCCGACACGCGCAGCACACTTGCACATATAAGTATGTACTATGTATACATATATATTTCAAAGTCCATAAGGGGATGGAGGGCAGAAGGCAACTAACCTAAGACAGAAGACTACTCCAGCAAGAAGGCACCAACCCCATCAAAGGTCCCAAAAAACTTGGAGAGCCTTCCACATCGGCCCACAAAACCAAAAACTCATTTTTCAAAAACAACCAAATATAAGGGTATCGTTATACACTCCTAAAAGAATCCTAAAATTTCTAGGGCGGGTTCTAGGATTTTTAGGATTTTGTGCGGCGTCGTTACACGCAATCCTAAAAATCATTTTTTAGGACTCATCCTTAAAGGTCTCCCGTGGCCGGTTTTCATATCCGTATACGCAGCTGCGTCGCCGATGTCCGTCCATTCCTGCCAATTCCGTCCAATCCCTGCCAACGGCTACCATTCGTGGCCATTGCCCGCGTCGTCCGACCACTGACCCGACGGACGGCTTCTGCACCAGCAACTCCGTGTCGACGGTGCCATGCGCGCGACCGTTGCCCGCGTCGACCCGCAGAAAACCTTCGATGTCCGACCACTGACCCGACGAACGGCTTCTGCACCAGGCTTCTGCACCAGCAACTCTGTGTCGACGGTGTCATGCGCGCGACCGATGCCCACGTCGACCCGCAGAAAACCTCCGATGTCCGACCACTGACCCGACGAACCGCTTCTGCACCAGCAACTCCGTGTCGACGGTGCCATGCGCGCGGCGCAACGAGTCCGCGAAACGCGGGAATCCTAAATTCGGGGGCTACTGGAAAAGTTAGGACGATTTTGCCAGGGGAATCCTAAATCCTTCAGGACTCGTCCTAACGCCGTTTTCACATTTTCGATCTCAGAATTGGATTTAGGATTGCGTGCAACCAAGACACAATCCTAAACACAGGCACTTTTAGGAGTGTCTAACGAGACCCTAAGTTATATAACAGCATTGGCATTCCCGACATTCATCTCAAACTCCACACTCGCGTCACTGCCAAAGAGGAGGAAGAAGATAAGAGACAACTTACCTAAGACAGAAGACTCCTCCAGCAAAAAAACGCGCCGACCCCCCCCTTGCTAAGGGTCCGAAAAAACTGGGAAATCCTTCCACGCTGGCCCACAAAACATACACATTCCCCCCAAAGAGAACTTGTGGCCACCTGTAAACATCCAAACAGCCCATGTGCTCTGTGTGTGTGTGTGTGTGTGTGTGTGTGTGTGTGTAGCACTGTGTGGTCATCGTGTGACGGTTTAGGAGTGTGAAAGAGAAAACTGTGCGATAGTGGACACCTCTGGTGCATTGTGCAGCGCTCCTTGATATTCCTACTAGTATGAATCCGCCGCACTCAGTCTGGGGAAATAAAGCTTTCAAGTTTTTGGAATAGGGTGTTTACTAAAAAGGAACCAAAAAAGGAAAGAAGCTCAACCCTTGGTGTGAAGAGAAAGTGCTCCGCATGGCACGCTCAGATGGTGTCTTAATCTTTTTTTGTCAGCCTCCTGTGTAAGTCGTGCTTGTTAGACGGAAGCAATGATCGTGCGTCCGTCCCTCAGGACATCGGCTGCTCAAAGGATTGGAACGATATAGAGAAGATTAGCATGGCCGCT